TTTTGCTTCAGTCTGTTTCAAAAGTGAGGTAGAAATGATTGCATCTTCTTCCACATTCATTTTCAAAACATTCCTTTTTAAGTTTATTAGTGTAGCAAGTGAAGGATAACTGAAACAATTTAGCATTTATTTTAGATTCTTAAACTGCTAAAATGCATGAGCAGACTGCTGCCAAAATTGCTGAATAAAAACGTCTATTTAGACAAATGCCTTGTGTTACAAGTTTCAGAGTGTGGGGGAGGTCTCATTTCAGGTATTACAGCTAAGCTCCAGAAAATAGGGTCTTATGAAAATTGACACCTTTCCTCTAGAAGTCTCTTAGCTGCTAGTATGGTCATCTCATGTAATCCTCATTCTATTTTTATTGTTGTTCCATATTTCTGTTTAGATGGATGGTTTGAAATTGTAATTGACTGTTTTTATTAACAGTGATACACATTCTTCTGCTGACACTTCCCTTGGAACTTGCTTGCTTTAGGATGTGGAGCTGCTATGGATTTCTTTGCCCACTTGATTGTATTGTTATTCTTGTATGGCTTAGAACCAATCAGTTTGTCATTCCTTCTGCATGAGACAGGCCCAAACCCACTGGCTTCCTCTGTAGGATCCATCTAATAAACCTCTGCTACATGGCAATTTTTTGCTTAAGCCTTCATTTATCCATTTTCATTCTTGCCAAGCTAAGCAAGCTGTTTAGACCCTGTCTAGTGCTGACTTTGTTATCAGTGTCAGAACTATAGAAAACCCTGAAATAAAGATCTGAATACATCTTGCCCCTTATACTTGGCTGTTCCTCACCTTCAGTGGCTCTCTTGAGAACTTGGGAGAGTTCAGACAACTCTCCTAAGAAAGTGTGTTTAGATCCTCTTTCTTACCTGCTTCTTTCCTGCCTTTTTGGTAGTGCCCCTACGCTGAACAAGAATCCTTGCTTTGCATATTCCTTAAGAAAATGCATTTATCTTATGCCTAAAAACATAGCTAAATGCCTGATTCTTTTTCTTGGAACTTGCTTAAATCTTATAGCATCTGCTTGTCAACTTGATGTGTTTAACTTATGAACAAACTTACAGAAATAAGATCTCAGATGATAGGAGAGAAAGACTTGAGTCCCAGAACTGAGTATGGGAACTGGTATGGAAGAATGATGTGAGGACTGAACTATAGAGAAAATGTGTTCCTCTCTACACCAGAGTAATTCTTTGACATTAAAGGAAAGACAGTGGACAGCAGAGAAGACATTCCCAAGTGAATGTCTGGACACTGTAAGAGAGACGCTCCTCTGCTTCTTGGTGATTTTCAAATGGAACAGCTACAGTGTCAGGGAATGAGAAGACCCTGGTTCAAGCTAGTCTAGAAATGAAGGTGTTCTTTTTAATTTTGGGGCCAGCTGGATACAGGTCCCTGCCTCAAAGTGTGTAATTATTTCTTTCTTACTGGAGCGAGTCCAGTAAAGGACCGTTAAGATGAAGGGTCTGGAGCACCTCTCCTATGAGGAAAGGCAGAGAGAGCTGGGACTGTTGAGCCTAGAGAAGAGGAGGCTCAGGGGTATCTCATCAATGTGGATAAATAACTGAAGGGAGGATGCAAAGAGGACAGAGCCAGACTCTCTTCAGAGGTGCCCAGTGACAGGACGAGAAGCAATGGGCACAAACTAAAAGACCTGAAATTCCATTCCATCCATCACTTTTCTACTGAGAGGGTGGATGAACACTAGAACACGTTGGCCAGAGAGGTTGTGGAGCCTCCACCCTTTGGAGATATTTAAACCTCGATTCAACATGGTCCTAGGTAACCAGCTGTAGCTGACTCTGAGCATGGGGGGTGGCCTAGACAGTCTTGAGAGGTCCCTTCCAACCTCAGCTGCTCTGGTTCTGTTTCCTGCATCCTGGAATAATTTTAACCATAAACATGGCTTCATATTCCTTTTTACAGAATGAAGAATTGAATGTGGATCTCCCACAGCCTGGGTAAGAGGGCTCGAGGTATTTATGCTGTCATATGGCAGTCTTGATTAATCAAGTCATTAAATAAAAATTTGGAAACTATTTGGAACATACTGCTTGGATTCATTAAAGTATTTGGGATGACCAAAAGCATATTACTGGGGGGGAAACCTACTACTTAGCAAAAATTTTTGCCCAGTACTTCTTTTAATAACCTGTTTTGAGGAAATTAAGGTAAATGATTCATATGCAGTATATATTCAGGTGGGACCAGTCATATTTAGTTCTCTTTTCTGAAAAAAATGAAATGATTTAATGCAGATGCTGAGTTATTTATATTACAGTAGTTATATCTAAGGGTTATTTATTTTAATATCTCACTTCTAATTAATGGAAGATTGGGGAGTGGGGGGAGAACAGGTGTTCCGTGTGTCCCACAAGTGCTCAGTGTGCTCCCCAGTTCTTACAGAAACTTAACATACCTATGACTGGCAGGTTAAAGGATTTGGGGCGAGGCGGGGGTGCTTTTTTCTTTTTAGGAATGAAAGGGTAGTTTTACCACTGCCAAAAAAGCTCTACCAAATATGTCTTTCATTAACATTTTTTTTATTACTATTATATACATGAGATCCTGTTAAGGGAACATTTTCATAATTTTGAGGAGAAAGATCATTTATGAAGAATAACATCTGTGCTAAGGATCACGGCAGTAACATTTTTAATTTTTCTTTCCATACTGTACAAGTTTGAATTCCAGTTTGGAATAGTTTTGTGAGAATAGCTAAAAGAAAAATAGCTGTTTCTGTGCTGTCTGCCATTACATTACTGCACACTCAAATACATATGGACAAGTGCAGTTTGCATGTATGTATCCTAATTGATCCCTCTTGCGTATTTTCAGGCATCCATGCCCAACTGCAGTTTCCATGTGCACACGTTTATGTTCCCTCCTTGCAAACCATCCCACTACATTTTCTGACATTCATTCAGTGCCATTAATACTTGCTGGCACAGACAAACTTATCCCTGTTTCTACCTCACTGCCCCATAAAATAATTAGTAGCATTGTCCAAATAAGGTAGAGATGGAGGGAAGTAGAGAAGTTTGAGTTTTCAGGATCTTGTGCCTTTTTTCTCCTAGCTGCCTACATTTTCCTAGTTGCAAGGATAATTTTTGACTCAGGCCTTTGCTCTCTTCCTGTAAAACATTTAATTGGTGAAGAAGGCTGTTTCCTAGCTTTTTTTTTCTCTAGAAAGGAGAGAAGGGAGATATCAGAAGGTGAAACACAGTTATGAACAGGCCTCCGCTGAGAATTAGTTACAAAGATGGTTGAAAAGAGTTTAATGCTCAGCTAAATCATAATTATTAACTTTGCGGATGGAGTTGAAGCTGGGAAAAGTTATATATACTCTGAGAGAATAACAGTGTAAATGAAGTTCCTTGAAGAACCCCAAAACTCGGTAGTTTTTATTAAAACATGAAAACACACCAGTTAATGCTTATGCTTGGGTATGGTAGCAAACTGCACTGAACTTTTAAAGATAAATGCAGGTTGCAGGAGACAAAAGTAACTGTTGGTTAGTCTGTGTACGCATGGCATTCATTACAGGCATAGTATCTCTTTAATAAGCTATCTTTACATCTTTTAATAAAAAGAGAGTTTAATTTTACAACCACTGTAAAATTTCATGTTATTTTCATATTACTAGTTTGCCTGCACTACATGAAAAGTCACAGCAGTGTTTAGTCTATTGGGACACTTTGCAAAGAACAAAATATAATTGTTATTTAAGCAAAGAAGTGGGGCAAACATGACATCACTCAGAGATGCAACTCACTGAGAACCTCGGACCCCAGGGAGTGCTGGATTTGTGAACAAAAATCTTTCACAAGGACAGAAAAGAAGAATTAATAGAGCCTGTGCACACAGCTAGTGAAATGCAGTAAAGGTGGGGAAAAATATAAGTAAAGTATTTTAATATCTTAGTATTAAAGTACTTACTGTAGTATAGAAAACCAGATGAAAAATGGCTGAAATGCTTGTTCCTTTGAGGAATACAGAGTTCTGTTATTGCTTGACAAATCCATTGCAAAAAGAGCTGGCAAGCCAACAAAAAGGAGACTTCATTAATCTTATTGAAATCAGCATGAGACAGATGAGCATACAACTGCTCTCGACAACACCAAGGTAAATCAGGGATCCACGCTGACTCAAAATTGTGCTCAAGAACACTGAAAATAAGTCACTACCCATTACCAGTTACTGAGGACATGTTGTCTTGTTTAACCAATACAGTGTGTCAGGAATACGTCAAGAACGGATTTTTGGCATGTTGAGCTAAGTGATCCATCCTGTCCCTGACACGCTTTGTTAAGAAGTGTGGCAGGCCCTGTAACAAGAGGTGCTGTGATCCCTGCCATGCTTCTGCATCATTTAACCAGTGGTCTGGGAAGCTGCTGGGCAGCTGAGCTGCAGCCGATGTCCGTCTTCCCACAGAAAAGCAGGATGTCAGGTATATAAGACCATTATAGGCACTGGTCACAACCCTTGGACAAGTGGCCAGGGATCCTAGACTAATTTTGCACAGTTTGAAAGCTGACAAAAGGTGAAGTCTCTGTCACTGGAGTCCGTTGATTTCCACAGAGTCCTGGTTGGAAATGAAGTGCTGTTACAGAAATGCCTGAGTTGAAGGATGTGAGCAGACTCTGGTCTGTTAGCATTGGTCTCCATTTGTTCATAGGTTCTTTAAGAAATTTACATGTTATTGAAGTCTAAGCACTGAAGGGGAATTTAAGATCTGATGTTACTGAGATGGTTTTGACGGTTTTGCCCAAAATCTTTTCATGTGATTTTATTGCATATTATGCCAATCAGTTGTGAATTGCACATTAACATGGGGAAAGGTGGTGTCTACTAAATGATTATGTATTGCTGATAAGATTATAAATCTTAGTTTGTAAATGGATTACATGGGTTTCCTTCCCAGTCTCAGTTTGGCAGGATCACAGTATTACACAAGTCTGCTGCAGGACTGTCTTTTCAACCATTTCTTCCAGGTTCTACAGTGGAAAGCACAGCAGGAAGAGGCTATTAAACTAGAAGCTGCTGTAGCTGCCAGAAGAAAAGAAAGGTGAGAAAGAAAGGCTACAGAAAGAACAGGAAATGATTCGTAGAGCTCAGGAGAAAGAGAAACTTTTATACAGTTTGGCATATGTTAATGTGTATAATTGCCTTTAAAATCTTTAACTGATCTCACTAGCTAGTATTCTTGTAAAGTATTAAGTATTATTATAGAGATAAGCAAACAGTTAGTTGAGTCTTGCTACTGTCCATTTTAGCTTTAAAGCTGCCTGCTTTTACACACTCGTTATGTTACTTCATTACGTTTCTAAAAAAAAGAAAAAAGCGTACACAAATAAATGTATGTGACTATCTCTGTGTCACAAAAAATCAGCACAGAGGCACTACTGAATTTCTAACTCTTCCAGATTTGTGCTTTTTAGCAATGTGGCAAAAACTATGAAAGTTTCCGATGCTGTGGTTAAGTATGCTGCAATGCAGCAAATGAGCCTTACAGTATATTGTCTGCAAGATAGCGCACTGCACTTTGCAGCACAAGGGCCTTAAAAGTGAGCCTGAAGCACAATGTTAACATTAACTATTTCACGATGTCAGAAGTCTATGTTACATTATTCTAAGTACTTATGTGGTGACCACTTGGGAAATGGCTTCGATGCATAAGTCTAAACTTCAACTTAATAGAAAATCAGAAATCCACTATAGTGAATGTAATGCGTTTAGAAAATCAAGCTGTGTCACATACTTATTTGTGTGGCCTTTTTATTTAAATGATATGGCAAAAATCTAGGAGGTTGTTTTATTAGAACTTTACCTCTTTTTCTCATTATTTTTTACACTGAAATCTGGCATGCTTAGAGTCCAACTCACCTGTGGTGTATTTGTTAAGACTGCATAATTATTTCTGGAAAAAATAAGTTGGAGAATGTCATAGATTCTTAGCACTTTGTCTTTCAAATGCTGATGAGTAGTCTCTTTTATGGGACTATTTGTGCTAACATGTTTGCAAGAAGGGTCGCTAAAAGCTGTGCTCTTATAACTTGCCAGTTAGAAGCAGTTAAGAAAACAAGGCTAAACTGTTCCAAATAGAGTATTTTCATGATGCATATGAAGGTTTTAGTGACATCACTATGTGTCACATTACAGAAAGCTTGTGCAAAAGAAGGAAGAAAACAAAATCTTCATATATGTTATCATGTTTTCTTTTTAGATTTTGCCTTCTTGTCTTTATTTATCTGCCGCATTTCTGTGTAACATACCTTACTGGGAGCAAACGTTTACTGATGGGACTACAACACGGCCAGTTAGACACCCTAGAATTTGATGGATTCTCATGTTGGTAGAGGTGTCTATTGCAGTGATATTCCTTGTGGGGGGAGGGGGGGAGGGAACCAAACACAAAACTATCCATACTTACAGCAAATTGATTAAGTTTTTACTAAAACAATTTACAACACTTACTGAAATCAGAAAAAAAATTATAGCAGAGCAAAATAAATGACTTGCAGGCAGGTGAAACTGACTGCCTTAGCAAAAGAATGAAAATAAAGTCCTACACTACTTGGAATTTCCCTATCTATTTTTATAGCACTCAAATATCTTTTCCTTGCTTTGTCCAAAGAAATATGTCTTCATGCCACGTCAAACAGGTCAAGAGCAGAAGCCCTTGCAGCTTATTGTATTCCTGGTGGTAGTTTGCATAACCGCTGAATTTGGTTCTATCAACAATTCTGCAAAGAAGCACTTGACTGAAAGTGCTGCCTGGAGAAAAGAAGCTGAAGCTGCTGAAGCCTTCTTGTCTCCAGATAGAGACTGTTATCTCCTCATTATTTCTCATTGCTGCTAGTCCCCAGAGCCAACATTTGAAAAGCTGCCTAATTTCAAATTGATTTTATTTTACTTGTGTTTTTATTCTTCTTGGTCATGACTGCATTTGCACATTGCATATATCCAGTTATCCAGTTTCTTCTCTAGCTGAAGAAGTCTCTACTTACATTGGTCACCTGATTTTATTCTTTTTCTGCAATTTATCTTAAAGATGAAATACACGTTCTTGGCAGAGCACAATCTTTCCATTAAAACTATGCTAAATCATATAGTTAGTAAAATTGCAACTAATTGTCCAAAAGTCAGTTTCAAGAGATGTTTCTCTTTCCTTCAAAGCACACAGAATACTCTCACTTTTCATAGGAATCAGAAAAGTTCAGATTGGAAGGGACCTCAAGACGTCTCTAGTTCAATCTCCTGCTCAGTTACGAGGTCCGACCAGGTAACTCATGGTTTTATCCTTATTCTGTTCTATTTATCCTTAAATTTATCTCTAACATTTGAGACTGTAATTTCAGGTTCAAAAGTTGAGAAAGCCATATTTATGTGTTTGCAAACCATGCACTTTCAGAGAAATCCTGGCTCAATTTAAATCAGTATTGGTTTTACCTTTACCTTTAATTGGCTTATTGTAGATATTGTTGGTGAACTTTTTAGACATAAACCTCTATGAAAAGACACAGGGGAATTTTTCAAGATTATGTGTATGTGCATTGTGTTACAAAACTTTATTGTATATGTGATTTATTTTTTTTTCCACACTGACATATGTTTCCTGGTATTTGTTCTTGGTTGATATGTTGTTACTGTTCTTACATGTTGGATTTAAAGTTATAAAATAACAAATTAAGGCAGAACTTCTACATTTGGTGTCTGCATTCATCTTCTATATAAGAGTTTTCAGGGTGAGATGTGATGAAATTTTGACTGGTATAGATAATCCATAAGTTCTCTCAGTTGGAGCGTGTGATTGTGAGATTTTGTGGTTTCTCCACCAGCAATGGAAAGAGGTACAGAGAGAGGGGCAGCCCGTATCTAATGATGGTTTGCTGCTTAGGTTATAAGAAACTTTGCTGCTGCTTTTCTTTTTGTTACAACTTGTTCTGCTTATTTGTCTGTACTCACACTGTGTTGATAGTAGCAGGTGGCTCTGAAACCACAAGGAAGGGGGAAGAGGCTTGGTGAGGCTGTGTTGACCTAACCACCAGCAATGTTCATTTTATGTGTGTCCTGGTTTCAGTTGGGATAGAGTTAATTGTCTTTCACAGCAGAGTGAGCGGCTGTGTGGTGCTCAGTTGCAACTGAGGTTAAACCATGACAATGTGTAAATATTTTGGTCGTGCAAACTTTCCACTTTTCTCTGGCCTATGTGTAATGTCTATACAGAACAGTCCTCTGCCTATGCACAGATGGAACACCAGCTGTTTGAGGTCAGCAGTCATATGTTTCATTTGAGTATGTTACATCTTAGATCCTTAAAAAGGGCTGCTAACCTGATACTGCCGTTGCTTTTCTGGTGAATGTTCTGTGGCAGGCAAGAAGAATATGTAAAATATCCGCGATCAGTGTAAAAGAAATGCCCACACTCTACCTAGTTTGTAACCTAGGCAGGGTATGTCAAGTACTTCCAAACCTGAGAATGGGTAAAATAACATTAGATCTTAAATACCAATGCTACATTTGCTCTATTGGACTGCAGATCAGATTTTTTCCTATATATTTAAATACAGAATTTCACTGGCCCCTAATTAGAGTTTATGAGAAAGCCTTCAGGCAATGTGGAATACAGAAAGGGAATAATTGCAAAAGAGAGAGTTTTATTCCATAAATATAAGTATTGCAAACAATATTAAATAAAAGCATTCTAAGAAATATGGTTATAGCCGTCCTTGTTTTCACGTCCTTCATGTGTAAAAAATGGCCTATATAAAGAAATGATTGGGAATTCTGAAATATAAGCACTGTTTGGAAGACCTGTTCTATTCTGAATCATGATAGTTAAAGGTTTTTCTGCACAAAGTCAATCATACAAAGAGGATGGTATTTTGACTGCCATTTAAACTGAAATCTCCAAAAGAGGCTTAAATTCAATATAGTCCAGTGGATGATAAAGAAGTTATTTTTATTGCCATTTTATGAAGCTTTTCATGTGAGATGATTCCATAAGTAAATTTCTTTGTAAGAAATTACCTATATTTTGGGAGGTAGGATAAGGTCTCAGACTTTCATAGGAACTTTATGCATTTGATTGTAAAATCAACAGATTATTGAGGTATAATTCAATTGCTTTTATAATTAATTTTATAATTAACATTTTCTTAGATTATTAAAATTCTTAAGATTTTCTTAGATTTTTGCATCTTTTTCTAAGCTTCTATTCTCTATTTTTCCAGTTGTATTTTAAATTTTAGAAACATAATGCTGTTTTGTTAGTGAATTTACAAGTGGCAGCATTGTCATACGCTTCTGTCATCATAAACAGTTTTTTCAAAAACTCAGTCTTAATTTTCAAGGTAAACACTATCTTTGTTTTGCCGGAAGCAGTAATTTTTAGTGAATTTGGTAGCTTTTCTCTTTCTGTTTGTCATAGCAATTGCCAAGAAGTCTGTTAGGTCTAAGGGGTTTCTCAGTCAGCCCTGAGGTGGTGTGAAGCACCACGCCATTCTCTGGCTATTCTTTTGGTTTCTGATTTAGAAGTACATCAGGGTATGTCATCATTTCTGTGTCCCAGCTTGTCTTTCTCTTCTGGCAGAAATTGCAAGAGCGCTAACCCTTGTAGATCTGCCATGTCATCCTAACTCTTCTTGTTGGGATAGCAGAGTATTTAGTATAAGGCAGAAAAGAGAATATATTGTACCTGTTGGAGATGACATGGAATATGAGTTGTATTATTATGTGTTGTTATTATGTGTTAATAACTGGAACAGGCAGGATAGGTCAGCTTAGCTTCAGTTAAGGCAAGAGGCTGCAAGATCAGGAAATACGGGAGGTCTTATACCGAGGAGTCCAGGAAGGCTGGACATTCTTCAAGATGGAAATCTTAAAGGCGTAAGAGCAGGCTGTCCCCATGTGCTGAAAGACGAGCCAGTGGGGAAGAAGACCAGCCTGGCTGAACAGAGAGCTTTGGCTGGAACGCAGGAAAAAAAGGAGAGTTTATGACCTTTGGAAGAAGGGGCAGGCAACTCAGAAGGACTACAAGGATGTCGTGAGGTTATGCAGGGAGAAAATTAGAAGGGGCAAAGCCCAAGTAGAACTTAATATGGCTACTGCCGTAAAAGACAATTAAAAATGTTTCTATAAATACATTAGCAAAAAAAGGAGGGCTAAGGAGAATCTCCATCCTTTATTGGATGCGAGGGGAA